CAACGATCGACTGTAATTGGTAAATTTTCTTACGATCTTGCGATTTGCAACTAATGTAGAAACCGGCCTTACGCGATCACCTTTGTTGGAATCCATTAGATCTCATCTCATCTAAAGAGGAGGAGGACTTTTCCCTCGTTAGTCCACGTCAAATTATCAGTGTTGTTATTATCCATAGTTCCACAACCGCGCAAAAGAGGAACGCGACGGTAAACAAAGCCACGTGCGCGCGCACTTTAGCGAAGCCTGACTGGAAGTTTACTCATTTCTCGCAGCGTACCCGTCAAGCTCCATGACTATAATGCGGCGCAAACAGGTGCGGAATTGTCAGGACTAGCAAATAAGTATGACAAAGGAAAATACGTGAACATTGTTATTCCGCACACAGACGGGCTTTGCGCTCGCCTCGCTTCACCCCGCTGGAAACGCTCGAGCAAGTTCGCGACGCTTGTGCGCGCGCGTACCAAGTTACCGTATTATTGTACGGTTATAGCGGGGCCAGAGAGTACAGCGCATATATATCGCGGCCGAGAAATTATGCTTCGCGTGCGGCGGGGTTATCGTCAATGGACGATCGTAACGCGGAATTGCGATTAGACGTCAGTCCGGGGCGAGAAGCTTCGCGTTATCGACAATGCAGGAAGCTCCTTGGGGAACTTACGCTTCTCTGTGATTTGACAAGACTGTCGAGCACGCGGGGTTGTCCATTATTTTTATATATTGCGCCGCCTGACTGATACTCTTTTTTTTTAATGAAACGACAGTGGAGACGACAAGAAAATAAGGAGCGTTGAGATAAAGCGACCTTGATGATTCCTGAAAATATGCCCTTTCTCATTCTCCGATCTTATGAAAAGAAAAATGTGCGGCGCACGTAATAAAACTCGCGACGAAACATCGCAATGAATAAGGCACAATAAGTACATAAGCCTCTAGACAAAGAACGATGGAATAAAAAGGTCGAAAGAGATTTTCGGTCCCGGCGCGGCTCGTTTTATTGGCCCGCTTATCTGCGAAAATGTTGCGAGGAGAAATGAGAATGTTTGGGATGCATAGCGTCTCTTTTCCCGACGCTAAATAACTGGGGGGACGCGCGTTTCCCCGCAGAGCCGGTGAAAACCTGATAACGCCCGCGAAGTTTAAAGAAAATTCTCCTCGTACGTACTTCCCGCGGCGGCGAAGCTTCCCCTTTTCTTCGCTTTTGTTTTTCGGCATCAACAAAAACCGAATTAATGAAGAAACAACGTATCAATACAGATGCGTATCGTCTCTCGCGGAAGCGCTCGCCGCGAGGCATCCTGCATACGTACCGAGTGTTTGTGTATCGCGCACTGCCGCGCAATAAAGTAAACGATTAAACGCCATCGAGAACGGAACCATCGCACAGCCGGTTATAGAAATCGATATTTCCATTCCCGTTATTACGTTATCCGCAAATCAGTTTCCCTACGGTGCAAACAGATACAATTAAATCTTTCTAATGGATCAGGAAAATGGCTTTTCCATATCGGAAAATTTGCCCAATAAGGTTCCATTCGGGCTAATGCAATTCTTTGCGATCAAACGGGTTTATCGCGCCTATGCAGTTTCATCTGGCGAAACGTAGACGATAAAGAAATGTCGATCGGAACAACTAGAATCCAGTTGAGCGAACTCAATTTTTGGGTTGGTTGCATGTGGCAAACTGATTGCCTTAATTCTTTCATCATAATTTTAATGTTCTTGTAATACTTTATTCGTATCAAACTAAACTAAATATTCAGCAAATTTGATTAACCATTGTGTTGATTCGTCTACCCCGAAAAGTAATGCTAACCGTTAAGTGTAGTAACAATAAAGAAGTAAAGAAGTAAAAAAAGTTTAACTCAATTTTTTTCTCCCGAGTTGAGTTCTCAAATTCGTTTCAAATTAACAGTGATATTTATATAATAAAGTGGAT